TAGGGGGGGTCAGCTGTATGCAAAAGCGATTCATCCTAAAAGTTTGGAATATACATGAATTTTTCAAATGTTAGTGCGGTGAAGTGCAGTGTCTGTCGCATGGGAATACGCATAAAACCTTTGTAGTGGATCACGAATCATAATACCAGATCTTATGCTGTTTAGTACGGCGGTGTTGGCTGTCATGTTACTGGCATTCAGTTTTAGAATAACAGCAGCTTAGCCCCCACATACACATACAATCGAATGTGTTCTGAAAATATCTTTGAGTTCTATTCTACATCAAGAATGATCGACAAAAGACCAATTGATAAAAGTTCTTCTGTAACAAAACACCAAAACACCAGTTCTCAATTTCCAACATACACGAAAACGCATGACAACGAAGAAAAAACTGTACCTCGTCAAACTAACAAAATTTCGTTTGACCATAACCGTTCGACAAATTACCGAGCACGTGATGTGATTGGTTACACTATTAAAATATTTCCAAAATAACTTCACCTAACGCAGGACAGGAAGTCGGAAGACGAATGTCGGATCATTTTAAATTACTGAGTGGGGAAGTCGTCTTTAGTGGATGAAAATGTAGTACTTGATCGTAGCGTTTCCAGAGGTAACACTCTTGACGCATGTGTTCGGCAAATTGCCTATCCTACAGGCGAGAGTTATTCCCACCTCCACAGCTCAACCTATATCACAGGTTTTGGAAACCCTTTTTGTATTTCCTACGGATTGCCTAAACCCCAGGTGTCATTTGAACTTTTTGCATAAAGTTGTCTAATGTACGGCTTACGTTATGGAATTAAAACGAGATTTATCAGTGTGACAACATTCGTTCTCCTACTTCGTTACTATTTTAGAAATCGGGTACACCTTGTTTCGTAGGCAACGTATTAAAATATTATTAACTAATGTGGAACTAATCCTTAAATATTATTCAAATACCAGTCGGATGCTAAGGTTCGGATAGAAAATATCTCTTAATAACTATTTTTACCACTTTTGGGTGAAAGGTGTGTGCGTGTACGTGGGACAGCAAAAAATCTTTCGTAGCATAGTCCACAGTTGTTGTTTTTTTTCTTTTTTAAATTTCATAATTCCTATGTGGAATGGTCTTACTCTTGAATTTCATCCAAACATTTCTTAATATATGTGTGAGAAGAACTTATGTGACATTCTCATAACAACATAATTATGTGTTGATACCAAAATGAAAGTCTTCAAAGTATCATGAATTGATGAAACTTAATTATTACTTTCTCACTACGCAGTGGAGAGGATGATGTGTAACACTGCGCGAAAAAACGGCGAATTTTCGGCAGAAAAACTCTTCTTACATGACTTTGGTGACATAAAAGTGAATAAATCCAGATGCTAAATTAGGAAAAAAGTTCAACATATGGTGTAGCCAGAATCCATGTTTAATTGGTCCTTGATGTCGAAAGATAGAATGATGGTAAAGCGTCTGTGTGTCTGTCCATTTGTGAACAACGGTAGCGGCTAACCCAGTCAGTCGATTTTTTTACCTCTAAAATTGATATTCCCTTATCGATTTTGCTGATGGCGCGGCCCTTTGAATTTAAAATCGATATTTTAATTGAGGGAGGATACTTTACATGAAGACTGTGGGAAATTTTCAATTTTTTAAAATGGCTCTTTCGTTTTGTATTAAATTTTGTTGTTAGTCTAAAATGCGTTTCACCCTAAGTTTTGCAAATTTTCAAAAATTGAATTTTTTTCCGCGTCTTACTACTTTTATAATTGTGAAGAGAGATTTTTCTCTGAATAAAAATTGTCCATTAAAGATAGATTTTGAAATAAGATCGTGTATAATTTGTGTATTTGAAATAAGATCATGAAAATTTGAGTATTTTTCACGTAATTTTGCATGAAAGTACGGGCGAGAAAGTAAGTTTTCTTATATCACCACTTGTTCAAGTTAGAAGTAATACTCGTATAAAGGCGGCTCCACACATTCAGCATTCTCCAATCAGCGAGCTATTGCTCGCCGAATTCCGAACAGCTGATGTGTTCGGCGAATGTTCGCTCTCTTTGATATTTCCTAAAGACCGACGCACGGTGGGTAGGGCGAGCACTGAATGTTCGCCTCTCAGCAAAGAGCAAGCAACTCATCCACACTACTCGGGATTCGGAAAGTGGTTGCTCGCTATAGTTGAACCTTTAACATACATATGTATAGAAACATTTGCGTGGGAGAGACATCCCTCAACACCTATAAAAGAAATGCATATTAATAAGAGATATTTGCGTCCTCAAAGCTTCGTCAAACTAAGTTAGAAATTAAAGTTCTGCGTTACAAGATTTGATCGTCATTGCTTGTTGTAAGTAATAACTGTATAATAAGTGTAGGTAATGGTATAGTTAAAATTCATCTTATACGCATGGTTGGACAGCCAATGCGAGGGTTGAAGGGGCGACTAAGATCACAGTTTCCGCACTTCGAATTTTAATGGATTTTAGAGATGAAAGGATCGCAAAGAAAAAGCAACAACCCTGAAGTTTCGCGTGCGGTTTTGCTTTCCCGCCTCGCCGCGCCGCGCCGCGCCGCGCCGCCTCGTTCCGCTGCAGGGCCGTTGAGGTGGCCGGGCAGAGTTGTGCGTGCGTCGGTTGCGTGCGTGCAGGCGGAGGGTCGGTGGAATCGATTGCAGGGGCGGGGAACCCCCGCGCCGAAGATCGCAGCCGCTGACGGCTGAGCCTTTACGGGACGCTCGCGGCTGAGGCAGAGCGGCGCAACAGTCCGGTCGCGCACTTAGCCAGAGTTGATGTTCCTGGGGCAAATATTGGTGCCTCCCCCCTTCCCAACATACAATTTTACTTTACACAGAAGTCTATCGTTATGAAAACTAGAAACGAAAATGTTTGTTATTTATTGTTTTTTACGAAATTTGGAAGAATTGAAGAAGGAAACGGACGAGGAGTGGCGCGGGAGGGGCGGGCGCGGCGCGTGCATATGTCGCCTGGCGACGGCGCTGCGCTGCGCTGCGGCCACCAGTGATAGTCGCTTCCGCCCCGGGACAACATCCGCCGCTCGCGACTGCGCAGTGGCTGGCGGACGCGGATGCGGCGCCGCCACCAAACACTTCTTTCCAAACATCCATCTTCATCGCACAAGACCATCCATGGTTTGAAAACTTGTTTAGTGGCGTCTGACAATAATGTTCGGGGGGATTTAATTCCACAGATGTAATGTTCATGTATTTATCATTGAGAGTTAACTGACAAAGCGAAGGTGATAAAAATTGATCAGAACAATTAACAAAACTAGATGATCTGAGTGGGTAAAACAAATATTAAGCATACATTTAGGGAGGAAACTTGACGTAACATATTTTTTTCTCCTAGCTCTCAAAAGCCTTCTATAATGTTCAGTTTTTTAAATTATCTAATTCTTGTTAGATATTGCATTCCCTTTAATTTGTTTATATTTGATCATTACTTTAGTTAATACAATTTAATTTTAATATTAAAAAATAGACGCATCATTCTTGCTTTTATTTATTTCTTCTAATGATTATTTTTGGTGTTTCTTCATAATGTTTACCAGTGCATCCATTATTCATGATAAGGATTTGTTTCTTAATGGAATCTACTCTTTAAACTTAGACCTTTTAAATCATATCATTACATTTTTTTGAAAGAATATTTTTCGCGGAATATTGAATGAAGTCATGTTTCACGAGATGGCTCTAAAAATTTGTAAGATACATTTTCCAATATTACAATATTCGGTATTTGTATGTAACATCTGGTATAAGAAAGTACGAGCTGTTGTAGCACCACTGCTTTTTCATTTCCTCCAAAATGTTTAATGAAAACTGAATCTCATTTACAATTATTTTCACGCTTAGATAGTCGAAATAACCTTATTTGCGTTAGATTCAACTCGAATATTTTGTTGAAGATTTATGGCCACCGAGTCATTGATGATGTAGTCGTGTGAAAATATGGAAAAATATGATTGACACGTGACATATTAATTTTTCTAATTAAAATTATGCCAAACCGAAATATTTGAAACGTAGAATATTACGCCAATTTCAATGTAGCAGTTATTTATTGTTTTAAGTCTAACCTTGTTCATCATTTGACAATATTACACTCCATAACGACTCCCTTGAGAATATCCACATCACTTCTTTCGGCGCCTGTAAAATTTACTCGAGAGTACATTTTCGTAGTTTTAAGGGTTTGTTGATTCGGTTGTCACCTAACGATTAACAAATGATGGTTTCTTATGTTTGTAGGTCATAACGGCTGGAGATGTCAAGAGGTGTCCTTGGCGATCTCGCTGTTCGGACCTGCAAATTTCAAGGGCAGCCATGGTTCCTCACAGTAGCAAATGCGACTCTCCACTCCTAGGAGCGCAGTAAGTACTTTATGCGTAGAGGGGCTATGGAGGATTGGCATGCGTGAGAGAGATAGTTGGAAAATGCGAGCTACTGCGGCAATTGAACTAGCTCACTCATTTACGATTTTAAAAAGGTGTAACTATAATTACATGTATACAATAATTCTTAACATGATAATCATTAAAAGGGGAATAAATGAAAAATTTGTTTTGAAGAAAGATATCTGCGGGGTAACCATAAATTATTACCTCAATAATTTAAGGTGAAGGAATAAAATGAAATGCAAAAACAAAGCAAGTGACATTCGCTTACATTTATATTCTTTTTCTTAACATTAAAAAAAGAATTTTTTCTACTCTTCGATGGCTTCACCTTATTTTATTCATTCATCTTCTTTCTTTTTTCGTGCTCTTTACTAGCTTCTTGTATTTGTTTTTGACTCGCGACTTGTATTCGTATTGTATTCATACCGTTTCACACTTTATCTTTAGCTCCACCACTTCTTCCCTCCCTTGTTTAATTTTTGTATTTTTCATTAATTTCCTTAGAGGGAACGTGAATCTTAGAAGCGGAGGGCCATCATTATCGCTAACATTTTTCATTCTCCTAACTTACAATTTTGTAACAATATACAGCTGTATCTCCTAAATGATACTGGCAGAATAACTTGTGACTACTAAAATAACGAATTGTGACTCTTCGCAGTTTTTAAGATGGAAGATGATATTTTGTTCGTTTAATACATTTGAGGTTACATTCGGTACAATTACAATTTCCTAACATCCTTTTAAAACTTTAGTTTCCAAGCCGGCTTTTGGCTTGGAAAGGTCTGAAAATTGCTTTGACACAATTAGTGCTTATTCGAAACATACTCGTGTTATTCTAAATCGTGACGTTTTGACATTTAGAATGGACGGAAAAAATATTTTAAGAAGGTAGTTGTTTATTATTGTTGCTTTGAAGTCGATGTAGAGATAACAATTACTCGCATCTTGTTTTGGAAAGTTTGTATAAAAATAAGTAGCAAAGTAAATATTTTAGAAAGTGTAGACATGCAAGTCTGCTAAATATTAGCAGTAATGTCGCCTTCTTCCGAAGATAAATTTTTGCAGTATTTCCTGTAATAGGAAAGAGAATTTATAAAACAGAAGTTCGCACGATACACGATACGTCGTCTTTCATACTACGCTAGAGAAAGATGTTTATTTTTCTTGATCAATATAAACCTTTGAAAATTGTTTTCAAAATTCGTTATCCTTACGAACTTTATGTGTTTTTACTTTGTCTATTTAATTGCTTATAGATTCATATGTTTCGGTATCAATAAGTAATTCAACTTTAATGTGTTTTAATGTTCGGATTTCCTCTTGTGATATCTGCAACCCACTCTGACTCTGGCGTTTGACTCGTTGTGTACTGTCATTTGTTAAGGAAGTTGTGGGACTTTCCATAAGAAGCTGATTGCACAATGTGTCCTATTGACAATCACAAGTTTGTTCTAATATTGCTACGTATTGTATATTTCGTAAATTATCCCTTTTATATTAAATTAATATTTTTCTCGAACAAATTATTCAACTGAATTATAGATAGCTTGAAAAGCAATAAGTTACAAAACATAATATGATATTACTTGATGCATTTAATAAGTTTAGAAAAGTCGAACATCCCTGTATCATTTACGTTAGTAAAAGTTAATTTCCGAAAACGAACCGTAAAAACGAGTTACTGTGACCACCGTAATTTACTCTCTCCAAACACATTTCTTTACCTATATGGCTATCAGCTTGTGTTTTTAGATCGCATAAAAACAGGCTGTTCTATAAGGTCCTCATTTCAATGAAACAACCTTTCAATGTATGAGTTGGACGACAATGGAAAAAAGTTTTTTTTATGATGCATGTAATAAACAAAATTTAATGTTTAATTAACAGAATAAACATTTGAATTAATGTTGTTTCAATTGTTCATTCTATAATGATTAATGGAAACATTTTGCTAAATTCATCACTCTGTTTACATAAATTATTTTATATTATAATTGATAATTATTTTTGAGGTATGAGGAAATGTTTTGCATATTTTGCTGGAGTTTGTTTTTTTCACGCCTGTTTTGTTTGTTGAAAAGGTTAAGTTTCTCCAACCATGAAAATGGTGTGAATAAGTTTCCTCACTCAGATCATGATTTGCCTGCCTTCAAAAAACCATTAATTGTTGAGCCGTCTAGGACTAATAAGCCGTCAGATATCATTTTTCTTTCCAAAGTGTCCATATTTCAAACATTGTTTGTCAAAGTTTTAATTATAGTTAAGAACAGAGGAATGTTGGCAAAAAACAAATCGACAAAGTATATCTGACTACAATAAACATCGGGACAACCATTAACCCAAAATACGTTTGTTGAAGGAGCATCGAAGAGTTTCGGAGATTAACAACTACGTCTGACGGTTGGCCTATCGTATGAAAAAATGAACTTCATACCTTCTTTTCCATATCTACCCTATCTATCACTCTCTCTATTGTCTATGTATCTATCCATGTATGTATTATTTATTATGTATCTATGTATGAATCTCATCCAACATATTGACACTGAGTATTAAAGTTGCATGATAAGAATCTTAGCTTGTAAGTAGGAACATGATGCTGCTTATGTCCAACAAGGGTTGAA